CCTCTGCAGGATTGTTGCAGGATTACATAAAGTAATGGATTTAAAAGTATTTCGAAGAATGTGAAGTGCCGTGCTGACATAAGATATTGGTTGTATTATTATTTGTGTCAGGAATGTGTTTGGTATAAGTAGCCCAGAGCTCGATTAACAACAGCTTAAGCCATAAAGACATTTGTAGTTCACTTACCTGGATGTACCAGTTCCCAGGGTTAGTGTAGTGGCTTGATGATGTCATTAAAGACCTGACACTTGCTCTTTACATTCTGCTGATGTCTCTGTGTTGGTGATGCCTCTTTTCGTGGTGCAAGATGGATGTCATAACTCTCAAGAGGCATGTGCTTACAGTACAATGTCCCAAACAAGAAGGAAGCAGGGAATGGAGTGAAAAGAGATCTCCTTCCGGGCCTCTCTCTCTTTTTTTTTTTTTTTTTTTTTTGAGACCAAGTCTCGCTGTCACCCAGGCTGGAGTGCAGTGGCGTGATCTCAGCTCATTGCAAGCTCTGCCTCCCAGGTTTGCGCCATTCTCCTGCCTCAGCTTCCTGAGTAGCTGGGACTACAGGCGCCTGCCACCATGCCCAGCTAATTTTTTTGTATTTTCAGTGGAGACAGGGTTTCACCGTGTTAGCCAGGATGGTCTTGATCTCCTGACCTCGTGATCCACCTGCCTCGGCCTCCCAGAGCGCTGAGATTACAGGCCTGAGCCACGGCGCCCAGCCTAGGCCTCTCTTTAATCAGATAGGAAAGTCTTTCCTAGCATCCCCCTAGCAGCCTTCCCTTCACATCTCTTTGGTCAATCCACTGATTCATGTACCTGTCCTAGACCAATCACTGGCGAAAGGAAGGAGGATTGATGTGCCTGGCTTGTAGACTAACCGTGAATCAGCTTCTGGGACTGGGGTACAATGCTGCCTGGACAGTCCGGGGTCTGCTAGCGAGGAAGAGGGAGGAGAAGCTAATAGTGTGATCACGTTATTATTTTTTCTCCCATTACAAATTGTATGTCTGGCATCAGGTTGGGTGAAGAGTTGATGAGCTAATTTTCTGTGAATACTGCAGGTGCCATACAAGGTGTCCACATGGGCACATAATAGGCAAAGACCATGGTAGTTGGCTGGCAGGGTCAGGCTGTGAGTTGAGGCTGCATCAGGATGGAATTGACAATCAACCAGTACCCATCTCAGAAGGAAGCAGAAGAAGGGAGGAATCTGAAGGTCATCTGGATGTGGCTTCTGGATCATACTAGAGAGAACCAGTTTAATCCTCAACTATTACACATGAAGATAACATGCTCCACAGTCATTTTTCTGGGGAATCTCGTCATTGTAAAATCCAGAACTGTAGGTGCTTATATAGATGGGTCTCATTTTCAGAAAGTTTGGATTAAAAATCTAGACTTGCAAAACACAGATTAGAGGTCAAATAGTCTGAAGTTTAAACTATTATTCATTTTATGAAATAATTTATCTTAACATTTGTTTAAATAGTGACATAATTGGTACACTTTAAATGATTTCATTGATGAATATATGATTTCCATATAACTTAGTTTATATACTGTGTGTGTATACACACACATGCCCACACCTATTGCATTGTATTGAGTTAGGTAGACCTATAAATTGATTAATTGAAAAATCATGAATAAAATAATCCTTTAGAATAAAATTTACACTAATATGAACTTAATTAAACATCTGAGTTTTAGGGTACCATAGCAAATGACATTTCCCAAGGAATTAAATGCCTATTCCAAAAATCAAGTCATACACAAATTATAGACTTTGTTCATACAGGTCAAATATTCAGTGCTCATATTCCCACATTGTGTAGGATATTGAACCAAAGGTCTCTCAAAGCTCTAAGATTCTTTTATTATGTAAGTGCCATTTGACCTTGAAGTTTCCTGCTTTTCTTAAATACTACAACTTTATGATTATGGTAGAATTGTCTTTATATCCAAGTTCCAGGCTCATAACTCACAGTTCATTCATTCACCTATTCATTTATTTGTTCATTCATTTTTAAAGCCCATATGTGATCCCACTCTCATGGAATTTATGGCCTAGAAGAGATGAACATTAAACTTGTGTGTAATCATACTGATGAATACATAACCCCATGTAGCTTAGTGATCTGAAGAAAGGAACACTACACTAGGTAAGGACATAATGAAGGAACCTGATCTTGACTGGGGATCAGAGAAAGTTTCTCTGAGGAAGCAATGCTTGAGCTGAGAGCCAACATATGAATAGGAGTTAATTAGGTGAAACAGTCTAAGTGAATTGGAAAGAGCATTCCTAAGAGAGGTACAGTGTGTGTGGTAGCCCACTCGTCCATCCATCCGTCCATCCATGCATCTGTGCATCTGTGCGTCCATCCATCCATTCATCCACCCATCAATCCATCCAGTTTTACAAAACAGTACAGTACCAAGTGATCATAAAGATGCAAACAAATAAAAATCATCTGTGTTTTCTCAGTCTGTAAGTCCATTTGGAAAGACTAGAGAAGTACACTGGTAAAAAAATTCTTAGAAAATGTTCAGAGGTTATTTTAAGTAACAGTAGATGTGAGGCAATTTCAGCAGTTGCTCTTGTTCTTATGGGAACGGGATTTGCAGCTCTCCTGGGCATCGACCTCACTCTACTTTTTCCCCATGAGAAGGGTGCAGAGTGTAGAGGATAAGACTCAGGTGCTAGCAGCATAACCATGCTTCCATGGGAACTGCAGTTTGTTATTAAAAAGATGAAGAAAAATCTTGCATTAACAAAGGAATTTGTTTAATTTGACAATGAATTACTTTTTTTCTAGTGCTTTTAGGATTAACCAAAAAGCAAAATTCATTATTTTAAATGGGATTTAAATTAGTATCTATTCTATATAGACTTAATCATCTCATTGTGACTTCCCTGAATATGGTTGCTTATATTGAAATCGGGGTAGTTGGGGCTCACTTGTAGTGATTAGCAAATTATCCATTTACATTTTTTATCAGGTTAATGGTAAATGTTCCAATGAGTTCACAGAATCTTGGCATTAAATTTATAAGTGGAATTGAGCTTAGAGGTCAATCTAGTATAACTCTCATTTTACACAAGAAGAAATTGAAAGCCAAATAGGTTAAGTGACTTGTTCAAGCCACTTAAAAATTTATGTCCCAATTCACTCCATAGACTTTTGTGATGCTGTATAAGTAAACTCTGTATCTAGGATCTTCTAACTCTACGTTCAGTATAAGGGGCTTTGAAGTGTAATTCTCTGCACTCAAATCCCTGCCCTTTACTAGTCTTGTGACTGGAAAAATTATTTACAGTTTATCATCTATAAAAGAGGATAATAATTGTACCCCTCTCACTGTATTGTTATGAAGATTAAAATGCATGAGAAGAGCCACGCTTGCAGTAAATGCTCAGTAAGTGCTTTGCCATGTGTCTTGCTTTGATCAATAGGAAGGATGGAAGTGACTGTGTGTCAGTTCTGAGTGAGACTTCAATAGGCATGGCAAGTTTCTTCTGCCCTTTGGTGCTCCTGGACTCAACCATGTCCTGGGAAGTCACTCATCTTAGAGAAAAGAGACATGGAACAAATCTGAACTATTATGACTGATGTCACCATGAACATTCTTGAACAAGTCTTTTTTTTTGTGGACATATGCATTCATTTTCTTCAAGTATTAACCTAGGAGTGGAATTACATTAAAAGGGGCCAAACGGTTTTCCAAAGTGGTTGTACCATTCTGTACTCTCACCAGCAATGTATGAGGGGCCCAGTTGCTTACATCCTCAGCAGTGCTTAATATTGTCAGTCTTTTTAATTTTATCCACTGTGGTGGGTGTTTGATGGTATCTCATTGTTGGTAGCCTACTGAGTTGAAAAAAGTTTCTTGTTTATTTGAAGATTTCTAATACTAGCTTCTAGGTCCTCTGTTTCACCCTCAAGGAGGGCTGCACAAAGTTTGACTAAGCCCAGACCCAGTCTTGTCACTCAGCCTTCCTGGTCTATGCTACTAATTGGAATTAGTCAGACCGGGTACCACATAGCCCAGAAACACCCAGCCAGTTCACTGGGTATTTATTGAACCTCCCAGGTGGTTTAGAGGCCACTGCTTAGAGGCCAAAGCTCAATTCTCCTAAGTGGCAAATGTATCTGTGAATGTGATGTAGAGGTATTGAAGATCTTTCCTATACTTTCCATGTATTTAATGAACAGCAAAAATTCTTATATTTTGGTAAACTAAAATCACATTGTTGTTTTGTAGTTCACAGAGGAAAAGCCTACTCAGGACTTTGCCTGGGATGGACAGCATGGAGATATTATGGTAGTTGCTATAATAAACTTTCTAAATCTTTCTGTCTTTCTGGTCCCCTTTCTACTTTCTATTTCTACTTTCCCCTTCTTCCTTTTTTCTCTCTTCTTTTTCTCCTCCCCTCCCTTTTCATTTCTTCTTCCTTGTTCTTCTTTCATCAGCTGAACAAGAGTTTAACAAAACATCTGAACACATACGAAATCATGAGAAAAACACAAATTTCTGGAACATCGATATATACCCTAATCTTTTCTGAATTTAATGTAGAACTGATTTATATCATATAGAATTTTAATATGTATATTATTGAGTTCTACTTTGTCTTGTTATTATTACTTCATGTAGTTCTTTCCATATTTCTAGATAACCCTAATAATTGTGATTCCTAATGGCAATAGAGTACTTCATTGTATTATCACGCCAGCCTGCTGAGCCATTTCACCAAACCAATATGCAATATTCTTTTGTATGAAGGTAGCCATATTTATTTGACCCATTCCCTTTTATTAGACATTTATGTTAATTCCTATTTGGAGTATTAATAATAATGCTACAGAAAACATCTATAAAACATAAAAACATTTTAGGCTGGGGATGGTGGCTCACTCCTGTAATCGCTGTACTTTGGAAGTCTGAGGCAGGAGGATTATTGGAGCCCAGGAGTTTGGGAGTATCCTGGGTCAACATGGCAAAACTCCATCTCTACAAAAAAATACAAAAATTAGCCAGGTGTGGTGGCAGGCACCTGTAGTCCCAGCTACTTGAGAGACTGAAGTGGGCTACGCTTGAGCTTGGCCTACAGAGCAAGACCCTGTCTTAAAAAAAAAAGGAAGACGATATGCTTTTACATAAACCTTTATTTGCATTTCTGCTTATTTTCTTAGGATTAATTTCTAGATGTAGAATTTCCGAGTCAAAGGGTGATGAACGTTTTAAATGTTCTTTGCCACCTAGCCAATAACATTTCAGAAAAGCCCAACCAACTTTGTTCTTAAAATTAATATATGAGAATGCCTATTTCATGGGAAATGAAAAGATTTTGAAAATATTGTATAGTTAACAAAAAAATCTTTATTTTTTAAAATTACAAAGCAACACCTATCACCTGTCTGTTGCCAAAATTCAATCTTAATAGAAGTGCATGATTATTTCTTTAGATGTTGGGATGAAAGCTGGATTATCTTTTGGGACATGCCCTCTACTTTGCAGGTTTCACAGGCTGTGGTAGATGCTGTTGAGTCAGGATCTGGGTACAGTCAGTGACAGTAGTAGGATTTTTCAGTGTGTCTTTGTCAGCAATAGTCAGTTGGTAGGTCTTCTCCCATCCTCCCTTCTTAGTGGTCATTAGTGCTGTTCTCTAAATCTTTCTGGATCTTTGACTTTCAGGCACAGAGTAGGATTTCACTTCCTGGCCCCCTTGTCATTGGGTGACTGGTGACTGGGCCATGTGACCAGTTCAGGGCAATAAGATATGAGTGGAGATGCTGTGTGTCACCATTAGATCAAGCATTTAATTGCCAGTTCAAGCCTGTGCAGAACTTTCTTTCCCTCCACCATATGCCTGGCAATGTAGGAATTGGTGGCCACTTTCTCAGCCTGGGTTTTGGAGTGAGGAGTAAGGAGTGGTCCCACCCTCCATCTCACCCCCCACTGACCTGAGATGGATATGTAGTAGAGTGAGAAAGATGCCGGGTTTTTTTTGCCATTGAGATTTTGGGAATGGTTATTACCTCAGCACAAGCCAGCCTGTTCTGACTGTTATTCCTTCTCCTGTTTCCCTTCCTTCCAACATATGTGGCTAACACACCCCCATCTATCCTATAGTCATAAAGACTTTGCCATGAGCCTGATGGTTGAGAGTCAACAGAAATAGACTTGAAGCTCATATATTACATAGCTGACACAAAATGCTTATTATCTACACTTACCACTTAATTTTATAAACTATATATGACATTAAACAAAAAATAACTACTTTTGTTTATTCAGAAAGGTACAAAAGCATTTAGACTGTTGGTTGCAGGACAGGAAGGCAGGGGGCAGGGAGTAGGTGATGCTGGCCAGCTCACAGAGACTGATGTCTCACCAGGCTGGGCTGTAGCTGGTCTAGTCTGTAGCTTTAAGCTTCCCAAAGTAGTACAAAAAGGCTTAGGCCTTTATAACTTAAAAACCTGTCAAAAGAGGTTTCCTCCATGTGCACAGATAGGCAGGGTGTGTGTGTGTGTGTGTGTGTGTGTGTGAGAGAGAGAGAGAGAGAGAGAGAGAGAGAGAGAGATTGTGAAGAAACTATTTGCCAGTGGAAAATAATGCCCCCTTTTAAACAAGCTGAAAATGTCTTGATATAAGGCAGTGTGGTCTTGCTCCGCTGTTTACAGAGGAATCCTTTCATGCAGCCATGATATATGGAGGCTTTAAACCATTGAGATCCTTTATGCTAACAGACCATTTGTCTTGGATTTTCCTGGTTTCCAGATTGTCTTCAAGGAGTACACCATTGACTCTGAAATTAGCTATTGTGTGGACAGATATATTAGAAGTCTCTAAATTATCATGTTGCAGGAACTTGTCATTCTAACACTTTAATGGAGTCTAGCTCTGTGTCAGCCCTCCCTCTGTCCTGAGACTTTGTCACATGGGTAATTCAGATGTCGGTGTCTCTGCCCCGCTTCCTTGTTTTTCATTAGGATCAACATTTCCAACTCCTGTTTTCTAGTTATCTTTCTTTTTGTTTCTGTGATACTTTCAAACCTGGGATTTTCCCTTAAGGGAAAAGTGGGTCTTTTGCTTGGGAAGCGTGCTTGTCTTCCCCAGTTGCACTCCAGAGCCTTTTCTTTATTAGTGTGTTTTTAGGCTTTTGGGGAACTGAAACCTTTTGGTTGCTGAATTGTGTGTGTCCCCTACCATCACAGAAAAGAAAGAATGTGTGTTCTTTCTCTTTTAATGTCAGTTAAAGTCACGTTTAGAGAATGCTTGAGGACTTCCCTGAAGGATGCCTCAGGATGGCACCAACCCACCAGATGTAGGCACTCTGGGATGAACATCCTTCTCCTTCTGGAAGGCTTTCCTTCTAGCCCAGTGGCTCTAGTAGTTTATCGTCTGCATCAGAATCACCAGGGTCGTTGTTATTGTGCAGATTCTTGGGTTATACCCGAGACCCACTGAGTGTGAGCCTTTTAGGGCTGGGACCCAGGAATCAGCATTGTAACAGGCAACCCAGGTTTTGAAGCCCTGCCTCCTGGCAGATCTCTCACTGTCTGCAGAGCATCTCCTAAATAAGCATCTCACTTCACCTACAACAAAGCCACTGACTCCACTGTCTCCACAAGGCCTGGAGGGAAGGAAGGTGGCTCCCTCTCTCTTCTTCCAAAACTCTCCTTTGGAGCTGGGCCTGTTGTCCTCGAATGAGAGGGACTTGCAGGAAAGCCAGTGAACAAGACTTAGGAAATGCACAAGGAGTGAAACACAGAGATGTCAGAGCCTCTTCTAGCCAGGGATGGTGGAGAACCATGTAGTTTTTTCATGCATTAGTCCTCAAATATTTATTATGTGCTTACCATGTGCCAGATACCACTCTAGGTGCATTCTGTCCAACCTTGCATTTCCCTTCTTTTTGTCAGATACAAAAAATGAAGCTGAAATGTAAGTCCCAAATGATCACCAAATAGGCAGGACCAGCAAAATTATTAGGAGAATCAAGACAAATTTCTGGCTTTTTCTGTGTGTGCTTCTGTGTGTTGTATGTGTGCCTCTGTGTGCTTTTGTGTCACACGTACTCATGTGAGTTAGATTTTATAAAATAGCTTGTGTTTTCCAAGCGTATGTATATACTTTATTTATTTTATTAGTTCATTCAAACATTTGTTTATTCATTCAGTAAAAAGCCATTCATTCATTCATCTAATATCTATAGTAGGTCTGCTGTGTGCCAGTCTAGTTAGTAGGTACTAGGGATACAATGATGAGCCAGACCAAGTTCTTGCCCTCATGGAGCTTCTATTTCAGAGTAGATGATGCTCTCATATGCCTATTGAATACCTAGATGTTGTTTTGTAATTTCCTTTTCTGTAGGGATCATTGTTTCAACAGATTGCCAAGTAGAGCCCAGGAGCCCTGCCCCCTGCTTTCCTCCTTCCTGGTTTCACAATGTCCTTTTCAGCAATGATGCCTTTCCAGACATTTCTTTACATGTCTGAAATATTTATACACAAAACTGGGGAAGATGAATTAAAAGTGTGAACTCTACATGGCACTGAAGTCTAAAGAGGAAGTGAAGCTGTTCAGCTGAGGGTTTTGACTGGTTCCCATTGGGAAACCCCTTTCAAGCAAAACCTTCATGGAGCAACACACTTCAAAGAGGTTCCCAGTGATGCCGTGTTTAAAACTTGTTAATTGGACCTAATTGCGAACAGCTGCTCAATTTAGCCACTGTTTGGGTTGGCATTCACCTACCATAGATCTAGGTCATCTTTTTGTTACATTACATTCATATTGGTATCGTAATATATTTGTTATAATCTTAGAATTTGTCACCATCCAAAGGATTATGAGATAATAAATAAAAACACGGAGACAACATATTTGTCAAGCCCTGAGGTCACTGCCAAGTACAAAAGCACTTGAGAGCAGATGCCTATTTGATACACTGTGTGTAGTCATGGCATTTCACTCACACACGTGGGAAGGTTTCCAACAGCAACAAAAAATCTGTGGTGTTTGCTGGAAGCACTGAATGATCTTTTATTGTCCATTTCTTCTTCGTTTAACTATTGCCTTTTAATGCCATACATCACAGAAACAAGGGGGAGACTAATAAATAGTAGTTTATTAGGTGAAATTGCTATTGGATCTAGTTTTATACAATATTCATGTTTCTTAAGAATCACTTGGGGGAACAACTTGTTGGTTAAATGTGAAGAGGTGATTTGGAAAATATTTAACAAGTGATAAGGCATGAGCACTGAGCAATTAGAAGGAATACTGGCCGTAGTAACCGGCATGGCCATACTCAGGCATACTTGTTGTGTAGCAACCAAAGTGTCTATTACAAGCAAGTTATCACTAAGGGTAACTAGAACATGATCCTGCTGGGATTCAGTGTAGAACATGCATGGCAGAGTTATATTACTCTAGGAGTAAGAGAGCCAGGGTATTCCTCCCAACTCCTGCCCATCACTGGTTGAAGGCAGTCCTGCCATGCAAGTGGCTAAGTGGGCTCTGGAGGTCTGGGGATGCCTTTATGCAAAGAAATGCTGGTTTGGCAACTGGAAGTCAGACTACTGAGTACTGAAGTGATGAGTGCCTAGGGGTATGGGCGGACACCAGCAGTACCTGCTATGGTGGTAGGGGGGCATTTGAGGATGTTGGTGGGGCTGATCATGAAATATTTCTCTCTCTGCATTGGGCATGTCAGGAGAAATAGCCTCCCTGAGGTTATTTGAAATAAATCGATACTCAAATTACATCTTATAAATTAAATGGGATTGAGGGGGGAGCATTTGATGAAAATGGTGAGGGTATTGAGAACAGTGTAAGCAGTTAACACTAATTTGTTCTTCTGTGTGATAAGCGTGGCTTCTCCTTTTTCCAGATGAGGACATTGAGGATCAGGGATGTTGAAATACTTGCCCAAGGATGCACAAGTGGAATGGTAAAGACAGGATTTGAATTCTCTTTTTCTCTCTCCCTCCCCCCTCCAACTTTTCTGTTTCAACAAAGATTTGAATACTTACTATGTTCTGGGCACTATTTTAAGCACCACATAGCAAAGAAACAATTTTGGTCCTTTTCGATCCTGATAATCCCCCATCCCTCCCTTAAACGTTTTTCCTTCCCCAGGTCCTTCCCTAACTTTTGTGGGGCCCTGCAAGTGTAAAAACGGAGGCTCATATACCATACCTCAATATTTAAAAGTGATAAATCAAGCTGGCAAAGTGTTAAATAAAAGATGCTCCATCCTCCTGCCTTGATAAAGACACTTGTGCACAAGGGCTGCTGTGCACTGAGAATCTGTGGGGTCTTGGAGCACCAGCAGGAATGTGGTGGCTCAGAGGGTGTGAACACCTAGCCCATGGCCTGTGGCCTGTCCCTCATCTCTTCCCACCCTGGCAGTCCCACATAAGGGAGCGGTACACATATGTGTGTGGACATCCTAGCCTACACATCCAAGCTGTATCCCCACAAACAGCACCCCTTAACTTAGGGGTGTGTGCACTGGTGGTGTGACCTGCCTTGGAGAGAAACAGGCCTGGAGAAAGCTCTGGAAGTGGAATTAAGATCACTTGGACAGGGGATTCAGGGTCTCTGGTACCCAAGACATAGTCCAAAAGAGGAGATGCAGGCTCCAGGCTCCAGGTGGGTACATCTCTGTGCCCCTGAACTCTTCACCCCATAGGAAAGGGCACAACCAGAGGAATACTAGGGGCCCCCCTTTCCTGGGCCTAAGAATAACCCTCCCCATTCTATTTTCTCTGCCAAATCCCACTTTCACATGTGGATATTTTTTTGAGATGTGGCCTTCTGAGGACTTTTATAAAGGAAAATGTGGAATTCAAACACTCTACTTGTTGAACAGAGAGCAGGTCCATTGAGGTGGGCAGATGGTAGGTGTCACCGGAAGTGGTGGAGTGGGACTGTGGAGAGACCTGCTGGGCTCTCTGGGGCTGCATGGACTTCCCTGCATTCAGCAGCCCTAGTCTACAGAGGGAGAAGCTATGCTGTCCTGGCCCTCTGTCTTGAGACCTTGATGGGTTCATCCCAAACCTCAGGAAGTGGCTGCAGTTTAGCAGGATCAGCTCTGCTTGCTGTTCACTTCTCCAGCCATGAGGACGGCAGCTCTGGATAGACGTCTAAAGCACACACGAAAGCAGTGCTTCCTTTACTGGGCCAGATTCTCCTGGGGGAGCAGACAGAAGCCCTCCAACGTGAGCAGTACGTTCTCATGCCAGTGTGCATTTGCCTGTCTCCCTTGGGGAAGGTAGGTGGTTTAAATTCTTTATTTATTAAGCCTGCACAATGTGATAGAACACTATGGGAGACAGTCCTCGATGTTTTATTCTTAAGAAAATAGGAAAGTGTATATACATTTCCCTTTCTTTAAATTCTATTCACTTCTCACTTTGTGTTAGGGGAGGTACTGAGGAATGCTGTTTTCATTTGCTTTTACTTTTAGTATGGTGTTACTCAGAACTACTAGGGTATATCTATTAATATATCTGTATCTACATCTGTATCTATATCACCTATATCCATATCTATCTATCTATCTATTATCTATCCATCTATATTATCTATCTATCTACCTATCTAATCTATCTATAGATAGATATATGAGAGAGGATTTTGTAGGGTTTTTTTTTTTTTTTTTGAGACAGGATCTCCCTCTGTCACCCAGGCTGGAGTACAGTGGCACAATCATAGCTCACTGCAAGCCTCAAACTCCTGGGCTCAAACGATCCTCCAGCGTCAGCCTCCTGAGTCGCTGGAACTATAGATACACACCACTGTGACGGACTAATTTGTTTAATTTTTATTTTGTAGAGATGGGTGGGGTCTTGCTACATTGCCCAGGCTGATATTGAACTGCTGACCTCAAGTGATTTTCTGCATCAGCCTCTCAAAATGCTGGGATTACAGGTGTGAGCCACCGCAACCAGCTGGAAGCTGGATTTTTAATGTTTCAAAGTAGAGCAACTGGGGTCACCCATTAGGTAACACATCCCAACACCTTTTCTCCTCTGAGTGGCTCCCATGTTCATATCTCACAAGGTGCTCTGTGCTTCAGGATGTCTCCCCAGTTGCTCTTCAGCCTCCTCTTGCTACACGGGCCAAGGGCACTGTTTGATGTTTGCAGCTTGTCCTCTTGCCTCCCTTCAACCCTTCAACTTATCTCTTCCCATTTGCATTATCCCTGACTAGGTATGTTGCTCATACGGACTCACAAGGGCCAATGTTAAAATTTCAGGAGTGTTGTGAGCCACTTATTAAATACAGCCATTATAAAAGTGAAATGGCCTAAACTTACATTTAAATAAATTTCATTAAAAACAAAGTTAGTAATAATGATACTGTTTTACTATATGTTACTATTGTCTATGCTGTTGGGGTTATTTCTGTCTATTGTAACTGCAGGGTGGAAATATTATATAACAGTGTGTTCTGCTATGCCCTTTTCCCAACTGTGTGTTTCATGATGTCTTGTTGGAGCTTGAAATCAACCATGGTTGTAGTATTTATTTCATGTAAATTGGTAAACGTTATGAATCAGGAGTCCCTCCCTTACCCAGAGAGCCTGTTGTTAACATTTACCAGCACACCGTGATCTGTAGCTCTCAAATCCTTAGATCAGAGTTTCTCAGTTCTAGCACTATTGACATTTTAGGCCAAATAATTCTTTGCTTTTTGGGGGGTGTCACATGCATAGTGGAATGCTGAGCAGCATCTCTGGATGCTAGTAGCTTCCCCTCCCCGGTTGTGACAACCAAAAATGTCTCCAGATGTTGCCAAATGTCTTCTGGGGGATAAAGTTATCTCCACTTAAGAACCACTGGCCTAGACAACATTATCCTTTAATGTAAATGACTTGCTATTCTTCCCTTTTTAAACTTTAACATGCATCTGACAAATATTCAGTGCCCATTATGCACGTAAACACAGTGATGAACAAGATAAGCCTTGTCTCTGTCTTCATGGAACTCCAGTCTGAAATCATGGACTAAGCTGGAAATATACGAGTATCCACTAGGACTAGAACATGCTATCTGCATGCTAATGGGCTCAGTAGGTGATCTTGATCTTTATTTATTCCATTAACACTAATTGCAACATTGTATAATGTTTGCGTTTCCCCTTCAGGTGACTGTTATCTCCTGGGCACAGGTAGCTACCAATAGGTGAGCCCCTCAGGAGATCACTGGTATATCTAGGATGGCAGTTAACTTCTTTAATAGGACAGCCTCATGACAGCTGGCAAGGAGCTGCGATTGGAAGGAACTGGAAGTCACACCGAAGCTCATTGAACAAGCATGCCATGAGTGCCATGAGTAAGTAGTCCCAGCTGATGAGCTTATCGGGGGGTTGCCAGTGGGGGGACTGCCCAGGGGCAGATGGAATGGGAGATATAGCCAGACCTCAGAAGGATATGCAGCTCCTGTGAGGACCTAAGTGGAGCTGAGTCAGCATGGCCCTGGTGAGCACACAGCAGGCATTGATCAGCCACAGACTTCAGTACTGAGACCTTCTAGGGTGGGAACTAGATGAACTGGAGGACAGGCCAGGAACCTGCACATATGAATCATGTGGGCCAAGGACCTTCCTCCCCTTTCCTACCAACATGAAGCAGACCCTTCCCCCAGGGGTCATCTTGGAGAAAAATGGGAAAGTGGAGCGTGGTAGGCGATGAGGTGCTGTAATACCAAAATATCCAGAAGGCGTTTAAAATTATTGGACTAGATGACATGTAATTTTCCTTTTTTACTTAGTGAAGTGAAGGACTCTGGAGAAAGATTTGATCAATTATAGAAAATAATGAAGGTACATTTTCTTTGCGTAACTAAATATAGGGTAAGTACATTTTGAATTTGCTAAAATTGTCTTTGCTCTGCCTCTGCACACATGTGGGCACCCGCGCACACGCACAAATGGCACTTCTAGGAGTTCTTCCTTGCCACCACCTCCTCTCAAGAATCAATGCTCACGAAAGCATTTGTGAGAAATGTGGAGTTTACTGTGGAGTTTCAAAGGGAAGATGATGGAGGTTTCACTGTAACCCCCACAACAAACAGATTCATATTCCGCTTTGATACTGTGTTCATCATTTCCAATATGTATGTTTTTCCTAGTTGAGTATTTGATATCTTGGAAACCAGACTCTGTCTTGCTGTGTTGGTGTGTCATAGTCTAATTGGCAGCACGTTTCCTTTGGTAACAATACATAAGACAATGGTGTGTCTTATGTTGGTGACTTCTTATATTTGTTAAAATCTTTTAAGTCTACTGCTTTGCAGTCCTTCCTCAACTGCAAGCAGAGGCTTCCCCACTGAGGAAAGTACAGTGTGGAGTCCGACCATCACTCGCTATCTCCACCATTCACAAGCCAGGTAACCTTGGGCAAGTTACTGAAGGGTTCGGGGCTTTGTTTCCCCAGCTGTGCAATGGGGATAATATTACTAACTACTTCATTGGACTGTAGTAAGAGTTGAATGAGTTGATTCATATAAAGAAATTGGAACACTGTCAGGTGGCGGTGACTTCTAGAAAAATAGTTGTTCTTACACGTGTTATCTCTTTAGTCCCCTCCCACACAGGTGCTGCCTCCTTTTACCTGTTGCTTTTTCTTTCCTCCCTTATTTTATAAATAATACTTCAGTGACCACTGTTTGCTATTTGAACACAACTTTGAGATCTCTCTTCTCCTTCCCAAATGGCTTACCTAAGTATTTACTCCAAACAAATATGTTGTCTTTTAGAGATACTCAGATAAGTAAAGATTGCTGTATGTAGTAACATATTTTTATCATTATTTCTGATGCATCTATGGTAGATGCAAGAGATAGTAAGGTATGAACTTGACTGGAGCCGAGCTAGGTTTTTGGGGAACATTAGGAGATGGGATGGAAAAAAGATAGGTTGGAGACAGATGGCACTTGAAGAATCTCCCCTTTGAAATCTTCGGTAAAGTCTATGATGTGATACCTCTCCATACATCTCTTAAGAGACTTTGTATTTTGATGATAGCCTTGAATGCTAGGGACATCACACCAGCTAGCCCATACAGGGTGGAGGGGACTTTCGCCCTCTTCAATTCACTGTGTATGGATGGCAATGTTTCTTCCCACATATGTGGCTGGCCCTAGGAGACAAGTCAGGCGATGTGAGCTGTGGATGTGAACTGAGAGAACAGTTGGGGCTTAGGTGAAAAGTGGAGATTCAGGAACTCTTCAGATATAGTGGCGTTAGGGAAAGATAGATGTATTAGACTATTCTTACATTGCTATAAAGAAATATCTGAGACTGGGTAATTTATAAAGAAAAGAGGTTAAATTGGCTCATAGTTCTGCAGGCTATACAGGAAGCATAGTGCTGGCATCTGCTCAGCTTCTGGTGAAACCTCAGGGAGCTTTTAATCATGGCGGAAGGGGAATGGGGAACAGGCATGCCACAAGTTGAAAGCAGGAGCAAGCAAGGGAGATTGGGGATGGGGGTAGGTGTTACAGACTTTTAAATGAGCAGGTCTTATAACATCTCACTCACTATTGTGAAGATGGCACCAAGCCGTGAGGGATCTGCCCCCATGATCCAAACACCTCCCACCAGGCCCCTCCTCCAGCATTAGGGATTACAATTCAACATGAGATCTGGGTGGGGACACACATCCAAACTATATCACTAGACACTAACAAAGAGACACCCGGTCCATCTGGGTTCAAGGTGTGCCACAGGCCTGCATGTCCTCCTAAGCTTTTCCAGACCCTTGGTGCCAGAGTTCAAATGGCTGCAGTCCTGGCATATTCCTCAGTGAGACTGGACAAAATAATCCACTCCTGCAAATGGAAAATTTCTTCTGCGTAGGGTGAGCACTTCCAGCTCCAGAAATGAAACATGCTAAAGGCAGAGTGTGACTTGGCATGGGGTGACCGGTTTCCCAACTGATCGGTCCTCCACCCTGTTAGTTCATTTTGCTGACGATCTTGTCCATAAGAGCAAAGAACTTTCTAGCTGGTCACCTTTGCAACAAAGTAAGAGTTTTTGAAAGAGGATTTTAAAAAATTCTTTTTTGGTTTATTTTGGGTTTAATGAGTCAACACTTTATTTTACTATGAGTGTTTATAACCAAACCTAAATGTATGTAGGATCTTGAACTTCCCCCACAACTATTTCCTATTTGTTCCCAGAAAAATTCCAATGCCAGATTTTGCCATAGCAACCAGAGGCAAATATCAAGACAGCAATAAAGAGCAAGCTGGAAAAGGGTTTCCCTACAATGTGGCTTGAGTTTCTGTAGGGCATTCCATCCTCCGTGCGGAGCCCTGGAAGGCAAGAGGGGGCCCTGCGGTTCCTCGTGGGGGGTCTGGTAGAGTCCAGCTTTACCAGCATCCAGGACCCACTAGGAAATGTGTCTTTCAGGCAGCTGGGCTAGGGGCGGAAAGATCAGCTTGCCTGCTCCTCGGGCTTGGCACCTGTTGTGTGTTGATCTTTATTTTTGTATGTCAATTTTTCAAAATTAAATGTATTGAGTTATTATTTTTTCATTATGCTTTTCCTCTGAGCAGTTTAGTAAACAAGCCTGTTGTGTATTTCCTAATTGTCCCCTCAAGTGCTCTTTGGAAGAAGGCAGTGCATATATATAAGTAAGCAAATGGAACCAAAGAACAGGAGACTCTTCCAATACCTGCCCACGATGTCCCTCATTCTGTGTCCTTCCTTTTTGTCATGGTTGTTGTGGTAATGTTAGGAATTCCCACTTCTTGCCCATAGGTAAAGTCATCTCACTACATGATAGCCTTCTTGCTGAAAGAACTTTGGGCTTCCGAGTTACTTCAGAAGTTTGGATTAGCGATGTGTTGTTAAATGTTGAATAACTTGCTCGCAGACATAAAATTGCTTTGATTTGTAGAGCTGATTTGCTGATTTCTGTGGTGTAAATCCTCCCACCATGGCAGATTTCTTCTTGCCAGAGTGACCTCATGAACGTGGAACTGGAAGGAGATGAACACATTTAACTCTCATGCACCGGTAAGAGCTGGCTGCCCCACACCGCTGGTTCTGTGGACTTAGGCCTGGTTTCTCAACTTCAGCACTATTGACATTTTGGGCAGAATGGTTGTTGGTTATTGGTGGCTGTCCTGTGTATTGTAGGATGTTTAGCAGCACCTGTGGTTTCTACTCACTAGATGCCAGGAGCAACCCCTTCCCACTAAGTTGTAACAACCAAAATTGTCTCCAGATTTTGCTAGATGTCTCCTGAGGGGCAAAATCTCCCTTAGTTCTGGGCTATTCTGCATTGGTAGTGCTTAGAAGGTCCATTCAGCAGGCAGTAGGCCTCCATTGGTAGCTTTTCCATGAACCACTCTGAATATGCACCCAAACAGGTTCTCTCTTGGCATTTTGGATGTGGTGCATTGGTCTGTTCTCATGCTGCTAATAAAGACATACCCGAGACTGGATAATTTATAAAGAAAAGAGATTTAATGGACTCACAGTTCCACATGGCTGGGGAGGCCTCACAATTGTGGCAGAAGATGAAGGAAGAGCAAAGGGACATCTTACATGGCAGCAGGCAAGAGAGCTTGTGCAGGAGAACTCCCCTTTATAAAATCATCAGCTCTCATGAGACTTATTCACTGTCATGAGAACAACACGGGAAAGTCCTGCCCCCATGATTCAGTCACCTCCCACTGGGTCCCTCCCATGACACATGGGAATTGTGGGAGCTACAATTGAAGATGAGATTTGGGTGGGGCTACAGCCAAACCATAACATGTGGTATTGCAAAACACTGAAGGTGTGCTTCCTTGGGTAGTCTTGAGAAGTGTCATGCTGTAAGGACTTAAGGCACCAAAAAAATTAAGACACAGCAGGGCCACTAGGAGAGCATCAGTGTAATTCCACTGTAGGATATATCCTATATCCATTCTAGGATGGATTTTGACAGACTGCAGAGGTCCCTTAGGCAAATCTTTCCTTTGTATGGGTGAGAAATGAGACTCAGAGACAAGGTGTGACTAGTCCAAGGGCAAGATATGGATGTGCTTGGGACAGTCACAGGGGTGTTGTGGTGAATGCTGTGAGACGCCTGTGTGACATACTGGGAATTAGAACTGACTCCAACTTGTAGCCAAATGTGTTTTGTGGGCTTTTCAATGTTGGATTTGGATGGATATATTTTGATGTTTCCCTGTCCCCTACCTCTCTGCCCCTTTGGAAATATCTGATCATGAAAACCATATTATAATGAGGGACTTCTGTTTCAGATAAAACTATTCCCTTCAGCTTCAGGAGTGAGTTGATTATTCACATGTTCTATTTAGGGGGTTTAAGCTGCTAGTCTTTAAAGAATGAATGCTGAAGGTTGTCATTAATTCCTCTTTCTTTGCTCCCACATCTGCTCTGGGCCTTCTCATTGATGTAGTATCTCAGGTTACTTCCAAAAAAATTTGAGAAAAGGATTTATAGAAGAAGCTAGCTTTCCAGTAGAAAAGTTTAGATGACAAGATTAATGTGGTAAGAACTAAGAAAGCCCTTCCTAGTTTTCATTGAAAATGTGTTTTTAACGCCCAGAGGTGCCCAGTCAAAAAGGAAATATTACAGAAGGATTATTTTCATCAACAGAGTTCTTGGGCATTGCAAGTTCCAGTGTAATTAGGGAAATAACATATGAGTACATTAGTACACTTCAGATGCCAATACATTGGGCTTAATGAGGACAGCAAGTCTGCTTTTATTAGGGGATTGAATAAAAGTGAAAGGAGTGCTTGAAAAGAATTGGTAATTTTGGATGGGATAATTCATCACTTCACTCCAGATCAGTTTTTCACAGTAAGAAGTGCTGGCTCTTCAGAAAATTTGGCACAACCAAAGTTTATTTTCACTACCTCCTCCTTCTTCCATTGTCCTTTGTCACCCCCCAGCAGGTCCACAGTGATTCTGCAGGTCATCCCTGTGGGCCCTGCCCATTCTCTTCCATCAGGGGCTATCTTACATCAATCTTTCAAGGTCTCCTCAGTGATGTAGGCCAGTTGAGTTTTTGCTTTCTTTTCTCAGAGGACAATTCAGCCTCAGCGTCTTAGACTAAAAGGATTCATGCAAGGGTGTCAGATGTTGTATTAGGCTAAAGGGGAGGTATTTTGGGTTGTGGGGAGCACTTAATGCAATCCTGTATGACATTCCCTACTCAATGATGTTCAGGCTCCACAGACCAACATGGAAAGGGCTTAAGAGAGATGACAAAAAAATCTCTTCTTCAGCAAGGATTTTCAGTTGATCAATTTTGTTACTTTTTTGTGATGAAACTATCTGCACTGCAGCTAATGATTTTTTTTTTCTCAAGGTGGAAAAGGTAGGAGCAACAGTTTTCAGTTCTAAGGATACATTCTGTGGACCTTCATAAGCCCTAGGAACTAGGAGGGCAAGATTGAGGAGGAAATAGAGAAAATAATTTGCTCTATAGTATTTTCCCCCTGAGCTGCCATCTGGGGCTTTCAGAGCTTAACACTGCACCCTTGCACTGTTGCACACACCACAGGAGCAATACCAAGAGATGTCAAACATGAGTGGTATTGGTCACTGGAAACAGCAGATTCCAAGTAGCTGTCTCACCAGACTGTTCCATCAGAAGATTCATTTGTGCCAACTACTACTTTGTCATGGGTCCTTCCTGGTTCTGCAACACAGATGTGGAAAGTGAAGAGAACATGTCATTGGATCCCATTTCTAAGAGTGGAAAATATACAATTTACCATGGGATGTTTAAGATATTAGCATATTGTTCACTATGTGTATCCAGAGCTTTAGTAGAAGTAGGTTGAAAGAGCAGTGCATGTATACATGGTGCTCCTCATTGTCAAATACTGAAGCCTGTTTCAGGCTGGGTTTGGGGGCTGGGAGTACTTATGGGACAAAGTCTGACCCTCAGTCTGTAGGCTGAGTGCCTTCTTAGTGTGTTGGGACTCAGGATCTATTTACCCTATCTATACTCACAAGCCTAATTCATTAATCAGGATGACTTACTGAGCTGCGAGACCTTTGAGGACAGGACCTTGTACCTTTATCTTGTGCCTCCCATGCCTAGTATAGCACCAGGCATGTAATAAGTTCTTTTTAAAAAAGTATTTTACAGCTTTATCAAAGCATACATGATGTAGGATCAACTGCATGTGTTTAAAGTTTTCCACTTGATGAGTTTTGATATATGTCTATACCCATGAAACCATCACTGCAATCAAGATAATGAACACATTCATCAGTCCTAAAGTTTCTCATGTCCCTTTGCAAGTCGCCCCCCTTCCTCCCATTGTTCTCAAACAACCACTATTCTGCTTCCTGTCACTACAGATGAGTTTGTGTTTTTCTGGAATTTTATATAAATGGAATCATACAACATGTACTCTGTTTTTCTTTCTGGCTGTTTTTACTCAGCATAATTTTCTCAAGATTCATTGAAGTTCTATATATTAATAGTTTGCTACATTTCATTGCTGAATAGTATTCCATTGTATAAATCATAATAGGCACCTAACAAGTGTTTGTGGATTTACATTGATTTGAAAATTAATTTTTAAGAATATAATTGGGAGAAAAGCAGACAATGGAATACCACTCTATTCTTGGTGAGTGGGTTCACTCAGGAAGTGGAAATAGGAATCAGGAGATAATTTGGCATGGTAGAGACTTTTGTTGTCATTCAATATCTATTTTTCCTTCTTTGTTAGTACTGGAGTACCTGAGTTTTGGCTGGGCACAGAACTGTCTGGAATACAGACCAGTTCCCAGCCTTCTGTGCAGTTCTGTGTGGCCATGTGACTAAGTTGTTGTCAATATGAGGTAAGCAGAAGGGGTCTGAAAAACTTCTTAAAAGTCTCCTTGAAGGAAGAGGGATTTCCTCTTTTTCTTCCTGTTCCCTGTTGTCTGGAAAGTGGCTGCAGTGTCTGGAACTCTGGCAGCCATTTTGGACCAGAAGAGACCTTGAGAATGGCGGATGCTCATAACAGAGCAATAAAGTAGAGCAGGTCTGGGCCCCTGACACCATCGAGTGCCATGGCAGACCTGAACTATCTCCCTCCAGGCTTCTCAACTGATAAATATAAATTTTGATCTTGGCTGGGAGTAATGGCTCATGCCTGTATTCCCAGCACTTTGGGAGGTCGAGGCAGGTGGATCACTTGAGGTCAGAAGTTCAAGACCAGCATGGCCAGTATGGCGAAACCCCGTCTCTACTAGAAATACAAAAATTAGCTGAGTGTGGTGCCACACGCCTGTAATCCCAGCTATTCGGGAGGCTGACGTAGGAGAATTGCTTGAATCTGGGAGGCAGAGGTTGCAGTGATCCGAGATCATGCCACTGCACTCCAGCCTGGGATACAGAGCAAGACTCCATCTCAAAAAACAAACAAACAAACAAACAACTAACTAACTAAATAAATTTTGGTCTTGTTTAAACCACTGCTGTTTTTGTGGGGGTTTTTGTTTGTTTCTTGCAGACAAAACAATTCTAACTGATACAGTTGGTACGATGGAGTTAGTTAGAACAAGAGGGAGCTTAATGTTGCTGGAAGATCGTTTCCATCATGCTAATATGGCCATTTCCAGTGTATGGATGTTACTGACTGGAAACCTAGTATCAACTATTAGAATCTCTTTTCATGAGTTCTGGAAAAACTCTGACAAACCATTCTTAAAATTCCCCTTTTCCCAATCATGTAACTCAAGCCCCGTCTATTTGTAGCCATCATTAACATTTTAGACTTCTTAAAATTACACTTATTTTACATTTATTGACTTTTAACGTGGTGGCTTTGTGGTGGGATGTGGGGTTAACCTAACATCATTACAAAATTTGCAAATCATAGTTATGGTGGTTTATTTGGAAATGTTTTCTGTAGATGCCCAGTCTCATTTATTACATATGAATTTTTGTTATGTTTAATCCCTAGTGTTGGTTTGGCTTTTGACTCTCATTTTTTATTTGAAATATTTCAAACATACATAAAAGAGTGTATGTCCAGATGCCATTTATCTAGCAAACATAACTCTGTAGAACAGTAGTTGCCAACTTTATTTATTAATGTAGCAGAGCGGAAGCCTTTTTGCAAATGGCATCCTATGTAGAAGCCCAGTATATAAAACATCTCAGAGCTTCTCTGGTTGAAGCAAAAATGGAGGGCTTGGAGCCTTCCTAGATTAAACCCCACCTTGGCCACCCCTTTCTACACCATGGTAGCCCCTGAAATCTGCTCACACAGCCCGATGGTCCTGTGAGCACAGCTGAAAAGCACAGATTAAGAACAGGTTCAAGAATCAGAAAGCAAGCTAAACATGGTGATCAGATCAGCCATAGCAGGTGATCCGGTGTACAAATATTAAAGCCCATCCGTTTTCTTCATAGAGGAGCCTCTGAGATTCTCATTCGGAACTCTGTGCTCTTATGTTAGCCACTATTCTAACAAGCTTTGCAATCTGGTTTCTCAGTCATGGAAGAAAAGAAGAACAAC